TAAGGACGGATTAGGGATAGTTAACATGGCTTTGTGTATAGGAATTGATGTCTTACTAACTTGGTTGAGTTTTTTTGAAGAGGTGACAAGGAATATTGATGAAGGCAGAGCAGTAGACATTGGCTATATGGATTTCAGTAAGGCATTTGACAAGGTCCCACATCATAGACCGGTTAGTAAAGTTAGATCACCAGGGATCCAGGAGGAGCTAGTCAATTAGATACAAAATTGACTTGAAGGTAGGAGACAGAGGATGGTGATAAAGGGTTTCCTTTCACACTGCAGGCCTGTGACCTGTGAAGCACCATAATGGTTGGCTGGGCCCACTGCTTTTTGTCATTTATATAAATTATTTGGATGTGAACATAGGAGGCATGATTTGTAAGTTTACAGATGACACAAAAATAGGTGATGTGGTGGGCAGCGAAGAAGATTATCTCAGAGCGTAACAGGACCTTGATCAAAAAGGCCAAAGGGCCAAGGAGTGGCAGATGGAGTTTAATTTAGATAAATGTGCGGTGCTGCATTTTGATCAGGCAAAACAGGGCAGGACTTACATAGTTAACCGTAGGGCCCTGAACAGTGTTGCCAAAGAGACCTAGGAGTACAGCTTCATAGCTCCAGGAAAATGGAGTTGCAGGTAGACAGGGTGGTGAAGAAGGTGTTTGGCAAGCTTGCCTTCATTGGCCGTAACACTGAGTATACCAAGGGTAGGGAAGTCCTGAACTAGAGGGCATAGGTTTAAGGCGAGAGGGGAAAGATTTAACAAGGACCTGGGGGGTAACTTTTTCGTGTATGGAATGAGCTGACAGAGGAAGTCGTGGATGTGGGTACAATAACATTTAAAAGGTGTCAGGATGGGTATATGAATAGGAAAGGTTTAGAGGGATATGCCAAATGCTGGCAATTAAGACTAGATCAGATTGGGATGTCTGATGCGCATGGACAAGTTGGACCAAAGGGTCCATTTCTGTGCAGTATGACTATGCCTCTATTTGAATACAGTGACTACAAGAGCAGGTCAGAGGCTAGGAATACTGCAGCAAGTAACTCACCTCCCTAAAGCCTGTCCACCATCTACAAGTCACAAGTCAGGAGCGTGATGGAATACTCCCCACTTGCCTGGATTGATTCAATTCCAACAACATTCAAGAAGCTTGACACTATCTAAAACAAAGCAGAAACGACATTACACCAGGTTATAGCCCAACAGGTTTATTTGAAAACACAAGTTTTCAGAGCCTCAATCCTTCTTCAGGTGTTAGTGAGAGAGGTAGTATCAGACACAGAGTTTAATAAGTAGAAGATCAAAGGGTCACACCATTGATGAGGATGTACTAAACAAACCTAAGATGCTGTTAAATCTTTAATCAGTTAGAACGTTTTAATTGATTAATATGTAAAACCCCAAATCCCTTTCAAGTCACAGTCCTGAGAGAACTAAAGGTTTTATCAGCGTAAATAAGAGGTGACATTTTAGGTCAGACAATGCATATTAGGTGTGAGGCCTTGTTTAGGATCTGTTTATGTTTTAATTTGGAGTCAGACTGGTTTTATTTCTAAAGTAGGGATTTATAAAACGCCAAATTGACTGACTGTTTATAAATTGTGTGCTTTTTGAACAAAATAAAAGGTATCTGCAAGTGTAAATTCGTCCCATGGGGTGTGTGTGTTCGCGTGTGCATGTGTGTGGTGCACGAGTGTGGAGCATGCATGTGTGTGTGCTTGTGTGGTGCATGCATGTGCATGCTTGTGTGGTGCACGCACGTGTGTGCTGCGTTCATCTGTAGTGCGACATGAATCCAAGATCCCGGTTGAGGCTGTCCTCATGGGGACTGAAGTTGGCTATCAGCCTCTGCTCGGCAACTCTGCGTTGTTGTGTATTCCAAAGTCTGACTTGGAGGATGTTATCCTTGACCGCTGAAGTGTTCCCTCGCTGGGAGGGAAAATCCCTGTCTGGTGATTGTTGCATTGTGTCCATTCATCCATTGTCATAGCGTCTGCATGGTTTCTCCAATGTACCATACTTCAGGGCATCCTTGCCTGCAGCAAATGAGATAGACGATGTTAGCCAAGTTACATGCGTATCTGCTGTGTACATGGTGGGTGGTGTTCCCACATGTGATGGTAATGTCCATTTCGATGATCTGACATGTCTTGCAGAGGTTGCCATGACAGGGTTGTGTGGCATTGTGGTCGATGTTGTCCTGAAGGCTGTGTAGTTCGCTGTGAACCGTGGTCTATTTAAGGTTTGGTGGTTGTTTGAAGGTGAGAAGTGGAGGTGTGGGGAAGATCTTGGCGAGATGCTCATTATCATCGATAATGCATTGAATGCTGCGAAGAACATGGCGTGGTTTCTCTGCTCCCGGGGAGTACTGGACGACGAAGGGTACCCTATTGGACCTATCCTGTGTCTGTCTTCTGAGGAGGTCATTACTGTTTTTCGCTGTGGCACATTGGTGATCGATGAGTTGAGCATTGTATCCTGTTCCTATGAGGGGGTCCTTCAACATTTTCAAGTGTCCATCTTGTTCCTCCACATCTGAACAAATTCTGTGTGTGTGTAGGGCTTGTCCATAGGGGATGGCTGTTTTAATAGGTTTTAGGTGGAGGCTAGAGAAGTGCCGCATCATGAGGTTATCTGTGGGCTTGTGGTGGAGTGAGGTACTGAGGTGTACATCCCTGATGGAGATGCGTGTGTCCAAGAATGAGGCTGATTCTAAAGAATGGTGCATGCTAAGTCTGATGGTGGGATGAAACTTGTTGATATCACTATGTAGTCGTTTCAATGATCCCTCGCCATGAGTCCAAAGGTAGAAAATGTCGTCAATGTATCTGGTGTATAGCATTGGTCGGAGGCTCTGTGCATCAAAGAAGTCTTGCTTGAACTTGTGCATGAAAATGTTGGCATATTAGGGTGCAAATTTGTTCCCCATGGCTGTTCAGTGTGTCTGGAGGAAGAGCTGGTTGTTGAAGGTGAAGATGATATGGTCGAGGATGAAGCGGATGAGTTATAGGATGGTGTGTGGAAATTGGCAGTTGTTGGTATTGAGTACTGAGGCTGTTGCAGTGATATCGTCATCATGGGAGGTGCTGGCGTAAGAGTGCCGAAATGTCCATTGTGATGAGGAATGTTCCTGGTTCGACTGGTCTGTGGGTGCTGAGTTTCTGTACGAAATCTGTAGGGTTGTGACAGAAGCTGTGGGTTCCCTGTGCAATGGGTTTTAAGATGCCCTTGACATAGTCCAACACCAGTGCCTCCACAAAATAAAACAAAGCAGCCTGCCTGATTGACACCACATCAACTCACATCCACTCCCTCCACCACCGACATTCGGTAGCAACAGTGTATATTATCTACAATTGCACTGCAGAAGTTCACTAAAGATCCTTAAACAGCTCCTTCCAAACCCACGTCCATTTCCATTTGGAAGGACAAGGGCAGCAGATACATGGGAACACCACCCTCTACAAGTTCCCCTCCAATTTGTGAATGTGGTTTTAATCAAGCATTCTTTGTTCTGGATGATGTCAAGCTTCTTGAGTGTTTTTGAAGCACTCTATTCCTCACTTGTGTCTCATCTTGCTAACAATGTTGGAGATATTTATTGCAGGTATTAACTTTGTGGAACCATACCCATCTTACCTGTTCTAACTCTCGCACCAGCCATGAACTTCCAAGCATAGAGAAAAGCTATCTGAAGCTTATTTAAACCAATTCAACAGGAGACTGACCCACCTTTCCACTATCTTCCTGAGCACGAATGAAAGAATTTTACTTTCACTGGCTGGAAATTGCTGGACTTCGATAATTTTCACTATTATTCTGGAATCGAAAGAAGCAGCTTTGTGTAGAGCGGGAAGGCTAAGGGCCATTTGAGGACGCTTCATTTGCAATTCAAAGGCCTTCTGCAAGAATTTGTGCTTTTCCCTAAATCACTGCAACTTCTACATCACGCAGAATGCAATGAAATTGCAACAGCAGCAGCATTCTAATAAAAGACACAAAACTAAATCTACAAAGGTTCACTCAGTACTCCTGTAATACAAAGACTGCATCCAGCTCAGAGTGCAACTTCAGAGCCATTGTGCAGAAACAAAAACCTTTGGCAGTTGAAGTGCTTTTAAGTTCTTGAAATTGATAAAAGCAAATATTTAACTCTTAATGCAAAACAACAAGTTGATCATGGAAGGCCAACTGTAAATCTGCCACAAATCATCATGGTCTCACTATTGTTCTGTTGTGACTTTGGAAGATTATTAGTCCAAAACAATGAAGCGGAAAACCTGATTTATGTTAAATTTTACTATCTCTGGAAGTTGCTGAGTTGTCTTGTGGTTGAATTTTCATCTGCACTGTAGAAAAAGGGCTGCAACCCAGTGACAGAGGCAGTGAACTCTCTAATGTTCTTGCTTGAAGGATTCACGGGGTGTACACCAAAGGGTGTAGTGGTGATTGATTCAGCAAGTGAGGAAATGGACACTGTTTGCCACAAGAGGCTGTGTTGTTAAGTATATTCAAGGCTGAGATGGACAGATGTTTACTCAGTAAGTGAGTCCAGGGTTATGGGGATAGGCAGGAAAGTAGGGATGAAGATTATCAGATCAGTCATATTCTCATTGAATGGGTTGAATGGCCGTTTTTTCTGCTCCTACATCTTATGGTCATCTGTGATTCCAAACGTAGAGAATCCTGGATCAATACCTGTGCATGGGGGCAATCGGAACCCATCTGGTAGGCAAGGAGGTTAGAAAACCAGGGGAGTGCAAAAGATATGCTGCAAGTGATGCTGTATGTATATCAGCTGCTCCTCTATTGGAGGCAATGCTGGACATGTACAACCCTGCTACTGTCAGAGGGAACCAACAAGAATATTTCATGTTGCGGATTTTACTTTGTTTCTAAACTTCACTATTATAGAACATTGTATCTCCCCAAATGGACATTGTGTGAGCTGCCTGAAAGAAAACAAACATAGAAAAAAAAGTTGAAAGACAACCTAGGAGTTTTGAGATCAGAGTCTTCTTCCGACTCGAAAGTCGTCCCCAGGGTTTCCAGGTTGGTTTAATTAAATCTTCAATACAGACAGCAGCCAAAGCACTGATGCCAGAAGAAATTGTGCTGTGGGAAAGAAAAAAAATTAAACAGAAGTTCTACTTCCCCGATTTTGCATTTCACGTGAAATGTAAACAGTTTAGTTAACCCCTTTGCTAGCATCCATTTACTGTCTTCAGTAAAATTCATGATTTCAATAGAACTGCTTCAGCTGGCATGTGACATTTCACAAAATCAACAAAACAGGGAGTTTGAAAACTTATGGGGAACTCATTTTCAACGTGCAACATATACACGTACTGCCTTTTCTATGGAGATAATTATCAGACATTTGCATGTTCTGAGGTGGAGAGACAAGACACATAATTAATATTTACTTCAGTTTGGTGGCTGATTTATAATTTTCTCCTGGTTTGCAGGCCCATCTGAGGTAGGAACCAAATACTTTGTAATGTTGATTAGGGAACGAGAGGTGTATTTTGTATCAGTCTTGACAATAGACAGTACAAATAAACATATCAGAAATTGTAGGGAATTGAAGTCTTTGGAATATTAATGTGACAGTCAGCTGACCATGTTCCTGGGCCTGATAGCCTACACTCTAAAGAGATGCATAAGGAGATAGCGGACACACTGGTTTTGATTTTCCAGAATCTAGAATATTCCTTGTAGATTGAAAAGTACAAAGGCAACTGTGCTGGAGAGAAAAGAGGAAGAAATTGGAAGCTGGTGTGTTAATCTGGTGCCAGTAGCCAGAAAAATGCCAGCACCAATATTAAAGAAATAGTAACAAGCTATTTGGAAAATTTCAATATGATTAGGCAAAGTCAACATGTTTTATGCAAGGGAAATTGTGCTTGACAAAACCTTTAGAGTTTTTTGATGATTTAATTTGAGGATGTAATCAACAGGGTAAATAATGGGAAACTAGTAGATACTTACACTTTCAGAAGGCTGTAGTGGTTGTAACAAGGTTAGCCAGGTGAATACAAGTTCCCTGACTGGACCAGATCAACAGCCCCAATCAGGGAGCCCTGGCTGGCAGATATAAACAGGAGATTCAGAGGTTCTGTCACTTTCAGAGCTGGCTCTGAGGAAGCTGGACCAGTGTCAAGTACTATTCACATGTCAATAAAGGGTGACTTGGCAGTAGAATACCAGCCTCTGTGCAGTTATTTTCAAGGTTTTTGATGAGGAAGTCACTGTGGAATTTGTTGCTGAAGACTAAGGCTCATGAGACAGGGGTAACGGCATGGTATGGCAAGTGGATTATAAGAGTAAGGAATTCTTGCTGAAGCTACATAGGGCTTTGGTGAGGCCACTCATGATACTGTGTACAGCTGGTGTACTTTGTCCATGGATAAAATTGCCTTAGGAGGTTTCCAACAAAGGTTCATTCGATTCGTTTCTGAAATTAGATGTTTGTCCTACTCAGACGGTGGAGTGAAAAAAATGAGCCTATAATTCTTGAGCTTAGTAAAATAAGATGCAATATCTTGCAAACATAAAATTCCTAGAAGATAAGGATCAGTCATTTAGGAAATTAAGAGAAATTTCTTCATTCAGACGGCGGTGAATCTTAAGCATTCTGTGGATGCTCCATTGATGACTTTATTCAAGACAGATTGATAGGCTTCAATACTTTATCCTGTTCTTTATGCAAATATGGTTCCCAGCACATTGAGGTACTGATCTGGAGTATCTCTGGCCTGTGGTGTCTGCACAGAGAAGTTTCTTAAGGAAAGGCTCTTCAATTCTTTGAAGAGGTGACCAAACACATGGATGAAGGTGGAGCAGTGGATGTGGTATACATGGATTTAAGTAAGGCTTTTGATAAGGTTCCCCATGGTAGGCTCATGCAGAAAGTAAGGAGGCATGGGATAGGGGCAAATGTGGCAGATTGGATTCAGAATTGGCTGACCCATAGAAGATGAAGGGTGGTAGTGGATGGAAAATATTCAACATGGTGCTCAGTTACGAGTGGTGTACCACAAGGATTTGTTCTGGGTCCTCTTCTATTTGCGATTTTTGTAAATGATTTAGATGTAGGAGTGGAAGGGTGGATTAGTAAGTTTGTGAACGATATAAAGGTGGGTCGAGTTGTGGACGGTGCGGAGGGCTGTTCTAGGTTACTAAGGGACATTGATAGGATGCAGAGCTGAGCTGAGAAGTGGCAGATGGAGTTTAACCCTGAAAAGTGTGAGGTGATTCATTTTGGAAGGACAAATTTGAAAGCAGAATACAGGGTTAACGGAAAGATTCTTGGCAGTAATGGAGGAGCAGAGGGATCTCGGGGTTAATGTTCACAGTTCCCTGAAAGCTGCCACCCAGGTGGATAGAGTTGTTAAGAAGGCGTATGGTGTGTTAGCTTTCATTAATAGAGGGATTGAGTTCAAGAGCCGTGAAGTTATGTTCCAGCTGTACAAAAGCCTGGTTCGGCCACATCTGGAGTATTGTGTCCAGTTCTGGTTGCCTCATTACAGGAAACATGTGGAAGCGTTGGAAAAGGTGCAGAGGAGATTTATCAGGATGTTGCCTGGAATGGAGGGAAGGTCTTACGAGGAAAGGTTGAGAGAGCTAGGGCTTTTCTCTTTAGAATGATGAAGGATGAGAGCTGACTTGATAGAGGTGTACAAAATGATCAGAGTATAGATGGAGTGACAGCCAGAGACTCTTTCCTAGGGCGGAGGTAGCTATTATGAGGGAGCATAGTTTTAAAGTGAGTGGAGTTAGATATAGGGGAGATGTCAGAGGTAGGTTCTTTAATCAGAGAGTGGTAGGGGCGTGGAATGCATTGGCGGAGAGGGTAGTGGAGTCGGCCTCATTAGGGGCATTTAAGTGGCTATTAGATAGGCATATGGATGATAGTATAGGTAGGGGTGGAGGTTAGATAGACCTTAGGTTTAGGGTAAAAGTTCGGCACAACATCGTGAGCCGAAGGGCCTGTACTGTGCTGTACAGTTCTATGTTCTGTGTTCTAATTCCTTTATGTACTGTAACTCTCCTCTATTTACAGCTGTATGTGATAGTTTATCAAACAGGGTAGTGTCTAAGAGCTCCATCTTCACATGCTCATTTGTAAATTTGTATGTTCTCTGTTACAGAGGTCAGAATCATGTATTATCATGATGTATATGATTCTCATTATATTACATTTGGCACTAAGACAATCAAAGGATCTAGGAATAGAGTATCATTCAGCATGTTTAAAGTAATGATTGTCAGATTTTTAATACTAATCTTGTAAATAGGTTTGAGGATATGCTGTGGGGATAAAGATATTAAAGTGGATGATCAACCATGATTGTATTGAATGTGATGGAGCAGGCTTCACAGGTTGAATAGCCCACTCCAACTCCTGGAGTGAGAAAGAAAGAATTAGCTGTGATCATATGAATGGCAGAGCAAGCTTGATAGGTCATATGGCACACTCATCAAATGATCAAAACTTGAGGAATGCCTCCAGAGTTGGCAACTCAATGGCACAAAATAATGATAGATTTCTCAAAGACCATTAGAAGTTGGCAGCAACAGTCGGTTTGTACTTTTTTAGTCCCAATTCAAACATTGTGAAACTTTATTCAGTATCAACAGCTGTCGAACATTCCAACTAATGTTAACCTATTGCTATAGTTGTGTGCAATTACGTACCTCAGTGTGCCACTGTATGCACTGGCAACAAATAGGCCAGGAAATCCAGGCATCTGATCGAATAACTCCATAACTAATAATGGGGTCAGCTTCCAAAAAAATTAGAAATAAATACTTGTTAAAACGATTCGTAATATTTATGTTAAAATGAGCCCATGTATCAGCATTAGCTCAGTGGTAGCAACCGTCCCTCTGAATGTGAGGATTCTGGGTCCAATTTCTCTTCCAGAGGCTGGAAGACATAATAGGCTGACATTTCAGTGCAGGGCCAAGTGTGTTAGGTGCCAGCTTTTGGATGAGGCATGAAACTGAATCCCCGTCTTGCGCACACAAATGAACTTAAAAGATCACATAAAACTATTTGAAGAGTGCAAAGTAGTCCCAGTTGCTAGGTCAAGCATCGCCAACATTGTAATAGATTGGGCATGAAATTCTTATCTATAGTACCACTGGAGACAGTGCTGTTAGATAAACTGGAGTCTGTCTGACTGGGGCGTGTTGCATCTCTAGTCACTTCTGGTCTGTGCTCCATATTGGGAAGATCTCTCACGTGCGTGATCTGTGCATCTACTGGAATTGATGCTGCCATGAAGCCACTTAGTCCTACTTGGCAGCTTTGATGCATGAACTGATAACTTGAACTCACTTGTAAATCACCAAAGAATGAGTTCTGCTGTAAGAGGACCCTGACAATAACAATATTTAAAGGACCAAGCACCTAATCTGAAGATCAGATAATTCAGAATATTATCTGCTATTTCTAGGCCACTGTACACGATCTGGAGTGCTTTTGGAGACATTGTGGAGAGTTCCTGGATTGGCCAGAGATGTTGTCGCATTCTCAGAGGGTGACAGAGGGTTTAGTGTCAAAAACAGAAGTTGCTGGAAAAGCTCAGCAGGTCTGGCAGCACCTGTGAAGAGAAAATCAGTTAAAGTTTCGGGTCCAGTGACCCTTCCTCACACCCTTCCGCTGAGGAAGCATCACCGGACCCAAAACGTTAACTCTGATTTTCTCTTCACAGATGCTGCCAGACCTGCTGAGCTTTTCCAGCAATTTCTGTTTTTGTCCCTGATTTACAGCATCCGCAGCTCTTTTGGTTTTTATTTAGAGGGTTTAGTGTCCTGTCCACACAAAGATTGCAAAGGATAAGGGTCCCTATAGTCACAGTGTGTCTGGATCAGCAGCACAACTGGGAAATGGAGCAAAAGCTGCAGAAAGATTCAGCTGTTTTGATGTCCTGTGTAAACTGGATATAAACTCCTCTCTGCTTCTTGGTAGTGACAGGATGCTGTCTGGCAACTGAGCCAATGCTCTGGAACTTACCAGGAGGTGAAGTAGAGAATTAAGTTAAAATAAAGATGCACTGTCCAAATGGCAAATTGATGCCTGAAGCTCTGAGACACTGCATGTAATTTAGAGGGTAGGAGAGAGTGGTGTCTGCACACTTAAAACCTGGCATAATGTATTGGAGCTTAGGCTAAGCGACAGTATTCTGCAGGTGCCAGTCTGTGGGAGGCCAAAATCACAGACTGGATTTTCCTGCAGAGAGCTCTATTTCAGGCTACAGAAGAAGGAAGGGTGACAGGTTAAATTGTTGTAATTTATCAAGGGTTTACACATCATTGTTTGTTAACTGTCCTTTTTCCAAAACGACACATAACTTATTGGTTAACATTTTCCATATATTGTCTTGTGCTTGAGTGTTAACGCGTCCTTTCACTTGCATTGTGATCAATGTCATTACAACATATGGCCGTATGTACAAGAGTTACTATAGTGTTTTATCCAAAAAGGGTTTGGAGGGTGTTAGCTGATTGCGTTCGGTTTCATTTAATCACCTCCATCACTATAGATGTGGAACCAACCATGGGGGTGCAATGCCAAGAGAGTAATAACTCAACTTCCATCACAAGTAGATTTCAAAGAGACCAATTGAAGTTCAGACTATTACCATGCAAATCCAGAGTGCTGTCATTATAGCACTAAGTAGTCTTTAAAGGAGAACTAGGATTGGCACTACCAAATGAGGGGGCCAACCTCAATTGGTTGATAGGAAATCAAGCCAGAGATGGCCTGTGTATCCGAGTAAGTGTCTGATTTGACAGTTTTTTGGAATACTCTCCTGAAAATGGGTAGCCATGATGTGGAGGTGCTGGTGCTGGACTGGAGTGTAGGATGGGCTGAAGGGCTAAACCTGTTATGATACTCAACAGCTGCGTGATCTTGAATGAGTCCTGTGAACATTCCTGTATGTGTCAAAGCCAGCACAAACAACGTGTTTTTCTGTACTTGTTTTTTCTGCGCCTCGCTGTTTGTAACACTGTATAAGAGAGAGAGTTTTGTTCCAACTCGCTGGACTTCACCTCAGACGAGGATTTTGAACAGTACCAGAAACAACCTCAGCCTCCAATCGAGGGGTCCCCAACGGGCAGAAGGGCGTAAGGCTTACTGATTCTTCCCCTCTTTTTCATTCTTTTTATTTACTTAATAAAAGATGAAAAATGAAAGGAACATTTATTACTCCTCAATAAATGTTGGTATTTAAGCAAATTGCTGTTGTTGAGCCTTCTCTTCACTATATTTAGCCGAATCTGAAAAGAATCATTTAGATGCACTCTGTGATCTAAGACAACTGGGGTGGACAAAGTCAGAAATCACACAACACCAGGTTATAGTCCAACAGGTTTATTTGAAATCACAAGCCTCTGGTGTGTGGCTCCTCTACCAGATTTCATTCTGAAAGTTTGTGATTTCAGATAAACAAGTTGGACTATAACCTGGTGTTGTGTGACTTCAGACTTGGAAAATTGTTGACATGATGCTCTTGCTGGCAATCCAACCAGAAAGGGAGTCCCCATCACCGACATTAAATCCTGTTTCTCTCCTTTTACAAGGTGCCATATTATCTATTCGGCATATTTAGCCAAAAACACTTCGCGTTTATTTAGTGTTCCAGTATTCATTGCAGTGACCATGTAATCATTTTGCTTTTGCACCCAAAGCTGGTGAACACTGTCAGGACACAGAGAAATGTGATGGTCAGGACCATGAAAGATCCCTGGGAGTTCCTTTTTATGGGGATCTTAACGTAATTCACAGACAAATATATATTTGTTTTCCTTATGCAAGAATCAAATTAAAATGCATGTTATAACAAATAAATTTCATTTCAAAAATTATTTCACTTACCTCATCAGTGGTGCTAACTCTGTTCGCCTTTATTGGATCACAATTTTCGTAAACAGCATACATAACTAAACCACAGAGGCAGGATAATGTGAACAAAATACAAGTACCAATCACGTTCAGGACGACAGCTCTATTAAAACCAAAGTTAAGTGTCAGTTATACATAAAGTAAGATTCCTTACAACCCATAATACTTAAAAGAAAGGAAGAACCTGCATTTCTGTGTCCTTAAGATGTCTTGAAGTGCTTAAATGCTAACAATTACTTTTTGAAATGTAGGAAAACATAACAATGTGAAAAAAAACCAAAGCGAGGAAGCTACACGTTCAACGTTTTTGTCTGAAGGACGTGTATTGGCCAGGACATGTTAAAACATCCTGCTTTTCTTCATATGGCACCATTGGATCTCTGACAATAATCTCCTGTCAATATATTCTGTATCATCAGTAAAATTATACAAGGAGAGGTCAACAGTGTTATCAAGCAGCAATCACACAGCAATAATTTGTTCATTGATCCTCACTGTGGGTTCTATTCTAAACCATTCCAGACTCAATCACAGTTTTCCAATCTTCTGGTACTTTTCCAGAATCTGAGAATTCTTGGAAGTTTACCACCAGTGCATCCACTATCTCTGTAGCTACTTCCTTTAAAAGCCTAGGATGTGACCTATCAGATCCAGCGCACTTATCAGCCATTAGTTTCCCTTATTCATTTTTCTCCAGTACTAGTTGTGTTTATTTCTTCACCCTCCTTATCCTCTTGATTTAGTATTTTTGGAATGCTATTAGTGTCTGCTTCTGTGAAGATTGATTTAAAATATTTATTCAACTCATCTGCCATTTCCTAGCTCACTATTGTTATTTCCCCAGCTCTGTTCTCTTTTACACATTTTTTAAAAAAGCTCTTTTTGTTGGCTTTTTTATATGTTACTTGTTAGTTTGCCCTCAGTTTATTTTCTCCCTCATTTTTTTGAATATCTTTTGCTGACTTTTAAAAAGTTTCCCCACCTACTGATTTACCACAATCCTTTGTCACATTGTGAGTTTTTCTTTCAATTTGATACTATCCTTAACTTCCCTGGTTAACTTTAGTTAATGTATGGAAATCTTCTTCCTCTTTGGAATATCTTTGCTATGAGTCAAGAACTTTTTGTTTTAAAAACATGTCTGCCTTTGTTAATCAACCTTTTTTTAAAAAAAATGCTGAACTCCTTCCCCAGTCCACTCCAGCCAACGCTGCCTTCATTTCTTTAAAATTACTCTTATTTAAATCTAGTACAGTCCTTTCCAATCCAATTTTCTCACTCTCAAACCGAATGCTAAATTCTACCTTGTTATGGTCCTAAAGTATCTTTTATTGTAAGATAAGTTGTTAAAACCTGTCTCATTACACATTATCAAATCCAAAATAGCCTGATCCCTAGTTGGATCCACAGCATATTGCGTTCTGCAAACATCTCAAATATATTTTGAATTCTTCCTGGCTACCACTGCCAATTTGATCTCTTAAATCAACATAAAGATGAAAGTCAACCAGGAATAATGTACTCCTGTTTTTTATGCCGTCATTATCTCCTGATATATTCATTGTCTTACAGCACAGCTACTGTTAGGGGGTTTATAGACCATGCTTATTAATATGGTCTTCTCTTTGCTATTCCTCACATCCACCCATATGAATTCTATTTCTTCTGATCCAAGATTATTTCTTGCTAATTCACTAAGAATATCATACTAACAAATCCACCCCCATCACCCTTCCCTTCATGCCTATCCTTTTAAAACTTTACATAACCCTGAATATTTAGTTCCCAGCTTCAATCTCCTTGTAACAATGTCTCTGTAATGGCTATGAGACAATATCCATTAATCATTATTTATGCCACTAATTCATTTACACAGTGCCAAATACTACATGCATTCAAGTAAAGAGCCATTAGTTTAGCCTTTTTAGTTTTTGATCCCTTTTTGTCTCTACTTTCTGCTTTCTGCTTGTACACTGTCCTCCTTCTCTGTCTCCCCCTGGGTATCATTGTTAAAGTAGTTGCTGTGCAGTGCTTCCCAATCCTTTTCTTTGCAAGCCTATGTTTTCTCCCTCTAATTAGCTTAAAGCCTTTTCTACAGATCCAGTTATTCGATTTGCCAGGACACTTAATCCAGTATGGATCAAATAAAGCCTGCTTGATGGGATCCACTCCCTTCTATCCCTATATGGATGCCAGTGCCCTAAGAAATGAAACCCATCCTCCAATGTTAATCTGTAAGCCACAGATTTAAATTTCATTATTTATCGTATGCCAATTTGCCTGCAGCTCATTATAATCCTCAGATATTAACCTTAGGAGGTTCTACATTTTAGTTTAGCGACTAACTCTTCAAAATCCTTCAGCAGACCCTGGCACCCAGTCAGTATTCTCAAAGGCCCAATAACTGGGGCCATTTGAATCTTATTGGAACCAGTTAATGTATTGACTTGGGTTAACTGGGTTATGGGTATAACTGTATCAGTTCCAATCAATTGCCACGTACCATCTCCTCAAGGACCATGAGGGATCTGAATAAATGCTGGCCTTAACAGCAACAACCATATTTCATGAAAGGACAAAAATTCTCAGCAGCAACCAATTAGCAGCTGAAGTACACTGACTAATTCAGTTTAGATTTGAAAGTTTTGTGCCTCATCGGTTCGCAGTACTCTTAGGAATAAGGCCTGTTCAATTGCTTTCAAATTTGTTGGTCTTAACAATGAATAGACTGACAGGAAATCATCAAAATGATTTTGCAATTTTGGTATAAAGAACCAGGCTAACTTACTTTCTTGCCTCTTTCTCACTCTTGCAGGACAAGTATCTTTGTATTTGTACTTGGTTACAGCCATATATCGATGTCCATCCAAATAAAGCTCCAAAACTCACGGTCCAAAATGTGTATCTTTTCCTTGGATCAGGATCAAAGCTGAATAAAAAAATAATTCCCAGTTACCTCACCAAAAATAACTTATTTTTATCTTCTACAAATATTTGTTTCAAACTCAAAGAAAAGTATTGATGTCTGCCAGGTGAGTGAAGACGATTCCTACACTTGCTTCTGATCTACTATACATTTAATCTATTTAAAAAAAAACATCAGATGTGGGAGTTGCTGGCCTGGCTAGGATTTATTACCTATCGTTAGTTGCTGTGGCAAAGCTGGTTTTAAAATAAGTTACTAGAAACATGTTTCAGCCTGAAATGTTGACTTTCCTATTCCTCAGATGCCACCTGATCGGCTATGCTTTTCCAGCTCCACATTTATTGACTCTAGTGTGTGAACGATACAGGGGCAGAAAGCCTCCAGATTCCATAAAGACAGAGTCTTTCTCTCCCTGCAGAGAATTAACAAAGAATTGGAAGACAGTTGGCTATTCTCACTCACCAGTTGCCTTTAAGCTTCTGTCTCTAACCAGTGACTGAGACACTGAAGTGTGCTAACTGACCTGTGTCTGCAGAAAAGAATTGAAAGAACATGAAAAGGAGAAGAGAAGGATTTTGAAAATGCAAAAGGACATCTAATTGTATCTTGTGGTCAGATGCTATTGAATTGTGTTCCCTTTTTTTCTCTTTATACCCATAACACCTCTGTTGATTTTCTACATATCTGTCTGCATTTATATGTGGAGTTTAGAAAGGGATAGAGTTTATATTAGAGAGCTTTAAGGTGATCATCTATATTTCTTATGGTTATAAACTGATATCTTTGTAATAAATACTAGTTTCATGTTAAATGCAGACCCTTGGTTGATGTTTTCTGTTACTTGAGTTCATCAGACAGGAAAATTGAGAACTTTTGAGTAACTTGTTTAAATCATTAACTTTTCTGACAAGCCCAAGAGTAGTGGGGCTTGAGTGTCAGTGCACTTGCACGACAGAAATGTGGAGGATTTTTAGGTAACACTTGCTACAAGTACTGGATAGGTTTGTCCCACTGAAGCAAGGAAGGGATTGTAAAGGTGAAGGAACCTTGGATGACAAGACATGTGGAACATCTAGTCAAGAGGAAGAAGGAAGCTTACTTAAGGTTGAGGAAGCAAGGATTGGACAGGGCTCTAGAGGTCTCCAAGGTAGCCAGGAAGGAACTGAAGAATAGACTTAGGAGAGCTAGAAGAGGGTATGAAAAAGACTTGGCGGGTAGGATTAAGGAAAACTGCAAGGCATTCTATATTTATGTGAGGAACAAGAGGATGGCCAGAGTCGGGGTAGGGCCAATCAGGGATAGTGGAGGGAACTTGTGCACAGAGTCAGAGGAGGTAGGGGAGGTCCTTAATGAATACTTTGCTTCAGTATTCATCAGTGATAGGGATCTTGACGTTTGTGAGGACAGCATGAAACAGGCAGATATGCTCGAACAGGTTGATTTTAGGAAGGAGGATGTGCTAAAATTTTTGAAAAACATGAGGATAGATAAGTCCCCTGGGCCAGACAGGATATACCTAAGGTTCCTACGGGAAGTGAAGGAAGAAACTGCTGCCCCTTTGGTGATGATCTTTGCATCCTCACTGTCCACTGGAGTAGTTCCAGATGATTGAAGGGTGGCAAATGTTTTTCCCTTGTTCAAGAAAGGGAATAGGGATAATCCTGGAAATTATAGACCAGTCAGTCTTACTTCTACAGTGGGCAAATTATTGGAGAGGATTCTGAGAGAAAGTATTTATGATTATTTGGAAAAGCACAGTTTGATTTGAAATAGTCAGCATGGCTTTGTGAGAGGCAGGTGATGCTTGATGAGGGGAGAGCAGTGGATGTGGTGTTTGTGGATTTTAGCAAGGCATTTGATAAGGATCCCCATGGTAGGCTCATTCAGAAAGTAAGGAGGCATGGGATTCAGGGAAATTTGGCTGTCTGCATACAAAGCTGGCTGTCCAATAGAAGACAGAGGGTATTAGTAGATGGAAAGCCTTCAGCCTGGAGCTTGGTGACCAGTGGTGATCCGCAGGGATCTGTTCTGGGACCCCTGCTCTTTGTGATCTTTATAAATGACTTGGATGAGGAAGGGCGAAGGGTGGGTTAGTGAATTTGCTGATGACACGAAGGTTGGTGGAGTTGTGGATGGTGTGAAGGGCTGTTGTAGGTTGCGACGGGACATTGACTGGACGCGGAGCTGGGCAAAGAAGTGTCAGGGGATTCAACCCAGAAAAGTGTGAAGTGATTCATTTTGGAAGGTTGAATTTGAATGCAGAATACAGGGTTAATAGCAGGAATCTCGGCAGTGTGGAGGAACAGAGGGATCTTGGGGTTCACGTCCATAGATCCCTCAAAGTTGCGACCCAAGTTGACAGGGTTGTAAAGAAAGCGTATGGTGTGTTGGCTTTCATTGGCAGGGGAAGTGAGTTTACGAGCCTTGACGTTATGCTGCAGCTCTATATAACTCTGGTTAGACCACACTTGGTCGCCTCATTATAGGAAGGATGTGGAAGCTTCAGAGAGCGTGCAGAGGAGATTTACCAGGATGCTGCCTGGACTGGAGGGCAGGTCTTATGAGGAAAGTTTGAGGGAGCTAGGGCCTTTTTCATTAGAGGGAAGAAGGATGAGAGGTGACTTGAAGGAGGTGTACAAGATGATGAGAGGCATAGATAGAGCGGATAGCCAGAGTCTTTTTCCCAGGGTGGAAATGACAATTACGAGGAGGCATAATTTTAAAGTTATTGGAGGAAGGTACAGGGGAGATGTCAGAGGTAGGTTCTTTACACAGAGCGTGGTGGGTGTATGGAATGCATTGCTGGCGGTGGTAGTGGTGTCAGATACATTGGGGACATTTAAACGATTCTTGGATAGGCACATGGAAAATAGTAAAATGTAGGGTATGCAGAGTAGTTTGATCTTACAGTAAGATGATAGGTTGGCACAACATCTTGGGCCGAAGGGCCTGTACTGTGTTGTACTGTTCTATGTTCTATGCTCACTTTCCAAGTGGGTCATGAGATTTCAGTAACACTCAAGACAAAGATACTCACTCAAAAAGGCTAGTCCGGCCATTGTTCTTTGCAATGTTCCAAATCTTTCCAAAGCTTCCAACATGGATTGATCCCTGAATCAGCACAGCCAGAAGACCAATCATCATGATGCACAGCTGGAATACATCTGTCCAGACAACAGCCTTAATACCACCCTGTGAAGACATGACAAATAGCAATAGATTTAACTCAGTGGCCAAGTGAGAGATGCTAACACTGCAAGTGGCTGCATTATGGTCCCGACAGATTATCAATCCAGTTAAATTTTGAATGCTCTGTAACTGACTCCCAAATTTATAGGAATAGAATTAGTTATTTGGCTTCCCAAATATTTCCTTCTCCTAGGCTTCTGTAGTAGCAGACATTTCTATCTAGTCAATACCTTTCTAAATTTTAAAAAACACAATTAAATCAACCCTTAGGATACTCTATTTTAGGCAATTGAAGCCTAACGTCTCTGATTTTTCACCAGAATCTAACCTTTAGAACTCAGTTTACATTCTGTTGAATCTCTGCTACATTATCAGGTACAGGCTGGTTATGGAAACATATGGTTTTCTGTCCATAACCTCTTAGACCTGGGGTGGGACAAATGATCTAGGAGTTCAAATCCCACAAAAGGTAGCTGGGGAAATTAAATTCAGTTATTCCAATAAAATCTTTAATTAAAAAGCTGGTATTATTGATGGAGACCATGAAAGTACTGATTGTCATTTAAAAACAAATGGTTTTGGTGTCCTTTAACCCTTTCATGGTTTGGCTTACATATTATTCCAACAATACAGTTGATTCTTAACTACAGATATTTTTATATCAACTGTCTCCGTCTTAAAGGACCTCTGCCAGCCTGGTCTTGCAGCAGTAGGTGAAGAAGGGTCTCGAACTGAAACGTCAGCTTTCCTGCTCCTCTGATGCTGCTTGGCCTGCTGTGTTCATCCAGCTCTACACCATCTCTACAGCCAACTTGTTCCAGTATAGCTCCAACACTGGTATCTACCTGAATGTTTTCCCAGATACAGGCTATTCAAAACTGTCAAGGGAAATGACTCAGGGTGACACACCAGCAGGCAATCTGCCATGACCTGCCTTTGGAGCAGAAAACTCATGGAATGGAATAGAATTCCCTGTCCACAAAAAGGCAGACAAAATCCTG